CCTAAAAACGCTGCAGGATTTCTCAAACATGCATGAAGGAGTCAAAGCAAGGCTTTGGGCATGTTTTTATGAGAGTATAACATTATGACATGATATAAAACTCAAAAAAGTTGATTTTACATGATTTTGCCCTTTCAAAAGATGTGAACAGGGGAAAACATGTTCATGCAACCTTACATGTTGGAGCCAGAGTCTGACCCAGAGCCAGAGGAGAATGAAGACCACTGAACTATGGTTGTATAAATCAAGACCTTATTTAAAAGTTTTGTCGCAAATAGTTTGACACAATAGTTCAGAAAACATCAAAGAAAACTGAGAAAACTGAACGAGTTGAAAGATATGATTCAAACAAAATATAAAGATATCTACGCAGCACCGGAAGAGACTAAATTAACCTTTTCTGTCTCCTAGAGACTCCAAGTACACAACAAAATGTATTTAAGGAGAAAAAAAGGGGATTTTGCAGATAAGTCCTGATGAAGTCAGGAAAATGGAGCTGGTCCACTGAGCAGGGATGTTGTCTCAGGAGGGGTGAGACATGTGGACACATCCTGTCCCTGATGTAGCACTGAGTCATCAGGGTCAGAAGTGACCTAAAGTCATGGTCACGTGGCTGGACTGGTCACTGACGGCACTGGGTGAGGTTTTTGTCGGCCATCTTGAGAAGAGCTACGTGTATCTCTCTGTTCTGTTTACATAAAAACGCCACAAATTTTTACCCTCTTGTTAGAAATAGCCACATTTTACTGATTTAAATTCTGTTTTGTGTTTGGGATAAATAAATTGCTCAATACCTGTACTCACATATCTATATCAATTTCTCTTCTGTGGCGGCCATCTTGAATGGGATTGACTCTAAAATGTAATCAGTAATAATTACTTCCTGAGAGTTTCAAAAGGTGCAGTAGCTCAGGAGATATTTTGCTAACAGTTCAGACATACAAACACACATGTAAATCAACATTTGTGTCAGATTATTTCATTCGAGTCTTTTTAAAAGAAAAAATAAATATCTTGTGTAAACATATTGATTTGGAGCCTCCAGAAGCCATTTTACTCCTGTGATGGTGTTTGCTTCATTTCCTGCTCTCAGTCATGTTCACAAGTGGTTTTCAAGCTGAGCTCTGTCATGCTGCAGTTTCCAGATGTGATTTTATGGTTTTATTAGCAGCAGTACTCAGACACGTCTGTGTTCCAACAGCAAGCTGACGTTTTGATTTAACTCTCAGGCTTCCTGGATATTTAATGTAGAACTGGTTCAAAAAAACATCTCCAACATCTGAAGTTTGTGGAATTACCATACATTATTCTTCTTTAGTAAAATCATTACTTCAGCCTAAACCACCAAAATGTTTGAGTGTTTCAAAATCAACACTCAGGACTCTTATTGTGAAGGACTGAAAACTTTTCTGCTGCAGTGGGGGGTAAACTAAACTCAGTTTTGTAGTGAACTCATACAAAGTGCAGATACAACTCTCAGTCAGTGAATTAAAAAGTTTGGTTCACTTCCTCTGGCTCCATTTGGGAAAATTTACTTTATTTTTTAAACAATCTGTCAAAGCTAACACATTTTATACAGTTATACATTCTAATTTCACTATTAAAATAGACTGGAAAAAAAACTTATTTTCCAGTGTTATTTTCCTCCGATGCATTTTCTAACTAAGCCTGAAATAAATGAATGTACTGGTCAGTAATTCTCATTTATTTCTTTATGATGGAAAAATGAAGGAATTGAAAAGAAACATACCTTTTCCTCTTCTGCTGGTCGTATTTAGGTTGGATGGTTTTAGATGATCCTTTTTCTTCTGCTCTTATGAAGGACATAAATTTGTGAAGAAAAGAAATTATTTTAATCAATAAATGTATGAATTAGTTCTCTGATTCTGTCCCCTGAGTGTTTTCAGAACTGAAGTGTCCCATTATTGTCGACTCGGCTCCTCCTCCACAAATATCAGCCTTTTATTCTGAACAAACAAGAGACAGCAAGGCAACAAGAGGCAGAAACAAAAGCCTGTTGTTTTATTTTGATGCTTGTACTTTAAGATCATCTTCATCAGAGTTCTGCAAAAACCTTTAAAGTTTATTAATAACTTTTAAAATATTATCTGAACCTAATATAGAGTTATCACTTGATGCCAAAACTCAGAATGTTGTTCCTAAACTCTCAGTGTTGTTTATTGCTGTGTTGATTTAATTTTATATTTCTGTTGATTTATAGTTTGTTTGTTGATTTTACTTTTGATTTATTCCACAACCCCAGTTATAGTAAAGTTGGGAGGTTGTGTAAAACATAAATGAAAACAGAAAATGGTGATTTGCTAATTCTTTTCAACCTATATTTAACTGAATACACTTCAAAGACAAAAAT